ACGTTCGTCTACTACGCTAAAATCCCACGAAAAAAAAATCGTAAGAATTCATAAGATTCTTAACAACCAATGAAATCGCAATGATAAAGATAACGATGATAAGCCGAGACTATGGGAAACAGCAATGTAAGCCAACGGAATGGCACGAGTTTTAAGGAGATGTTCCCTGTCAACGAATAATCTAATGACTTCAAGTTCAACATCCAGGTGGGTGGTTCTGCCCGTGACAATTTTTTGCGGGTAATTTGCTAACTTGAGAATCTGAAAAGCTAGAAGGCTGCAATTGTAAGAGGATATTCGCTGTCCGTGTAAAACTTGATGGCTCCAAATTCAGCGCCCAGGTATACGCCGGATCCCCATATATGGGCGTGTAAAAATTTTTGGCGAGTAAGTTGCTAACTCGGGAACAAGAAAAGCTAGCTGAAATTTTAAGGGTATGCATTCTGACAGTTTTGGTGGTTCGTTTCAATACTTTTAGCTAGAAGCATTTGACGGAAAAAACAGTGCCGTTAGTGGAAAAAACCTGCGGGGAACTATGCAAAAAACGCATCTTCGCATCGGCAGTCGGTGCACTGGCCAATTATTTGAGTGTTGCTTACAAGCGAGTTGATAGCGGATTAATTCCTGGCGCAATGCCAAAAACAATTCAAATCAAAACGAATGAACGAATCACAGGAAAACTGGCTGTACCGCGATCGAATCTTCGTCTCAGTGCACGAAAACAATACTTCTTCACAGCGCCAGGCCTGTCGGCTTTATATTTGAATTTCAAATTTTGATAATTATTTATGGCAATGCTTACCTTGCATTGTCTCCAGAAATCCATGCATACAACTGAGCACCACTCGGTGATGCAGGCTGCGGCGGTAGGCCCCACTCGGTGGTACGCCAGAAACCTTAAATTTTTCAAAACCGAACATATTTGGTGGATATAAAACGGTAATAATGGAAGAACTTAGAACCGTTAAATATGAGTAAAAAGAATCCAGGGAGGCAAGGGGTTTTTGGCCCCTTCTCCCCCCTCTCCAGGAACTCAGATAGCAGCTGTTTTACTACAGAAAACTCTGTTCGATACCACCTGTTGGCCTCCTCCCTCCCCTCCCCTTCAGATTAGGACTGACTAGCGAGATGGGGAAAGGTAGCGGGACGATCGAGCGGTGGGCAGTAAGCTGGCCGAGGGACGGTGTAGTGATGAAGGGTGGGAGGGGGGGGGGGAAGAAGAATCGCTTCCCCCCTCCCTCTTTCCCCCTCAGGAGACCGCCCTGGATTCGCCTATGCGTATGACTCAATGAACAACTAGAAAAACCGTATGAAGTACAAAACTGTTACAAGTTTATACGATATGTGATTATATTTTACGTGGAAAATCTTCAGCCGGTTAATTTATGTTAAAATCAAAGCGATTCTCAGTGAAAACTCAGGAGTTCCAGAAAGCAGTTTTGCAAGTTCCAGAAAGCAGTTTTGCACAATCAAAAACGTTTTCAAAATTGGTGAAAAGACAAGAGTAGTACAAAATCCCCTTATGCTTGTTATTATGCGTTTTTTGCATCTATGCAATGCCGAAAACGCATATTGACGAGAGATTGTCTGTATGTGTGCGTGTGTGTGTGTGTATGTGTGTCGTCTGTACCGATTTTTCATCTCGAGTCCTTCAAAAGTTGCAGGACTGAAGCTTTGGGAACTTGATCTACATGCATGTCCGAGCCCCCATC